TCTACGCTTTACCTACTTTATAGCCTACCCACCCCATTAAATTGTCAACTTCATGAGGACAAGCACTGTATGCTTTTTGTTCTTTCTGAATCCTCAGCACAGACCCTAACACATAGTTGTACTCAATAATTCTTGGATTTTGTTTCCTATATTTAATACTCATTTACCAACCCAGCAATTCCACTTCTGAGATCCTACCTTAGGAAACCACTCATGTGAGCCTATAAAGAGGGAGTCTCTACAAGGAATGTTCTTCACAGCACTGTTTCTGATGGCCAAAAAACATAAACAACATGCTTGACAATAACGGAATACAGAGCCATCTGATTAAATACTAAGCATCAAGTGAAAAGAATGAAGACCTACATCCACCACCATGAAGAGTTCCAAGACACACAGGTGACAACAGCAAATGTGTAAATCTGTGTAGTAGCACTGTTTAAAAAAAGATGGCAAAGACAACAAAAAAATTGCTACACGTTTTTTACTTGTATACCCATGCACGTAAAAGCATCAAAACCGTCTAGAAAGACATATAACAAACTTTTAACAGAATCACCTTTACAGAAGGAAATAAAGGACTAAGTCCGGAGGCAACTATTTAACTTGGTACAAGAACATTCTGGAGTATCATCACGCACTCAAAAATAATTTTAAAAGGCTGGCAAACGAACGCATGAGCCTCCATGAGCTTTCAGGGCTTTTCGTCCTCTCATCCGAGGCTATCCTTCCCTCTCCAGCCCCACTCGAGCAGGCTCTCAAGCGCTGACCCGGTCCACCCCAGTCGGGAATCCAGGACAGTTCCCTGCTCCCTCCTTGGCCGCCACCACGTCCGCGGCCAGGGTCCCGCACTCACCAGACACAGGTGAAGGATCCCTCTTGGGCTGGAGGCGACTGGTCTGGGGCAGGAACGGGTTGTTGAGCCTACGGGAAGCGGTAAGGTCAGGGGGAATCGAGCCCTGGGCCGCCACTCAGCCCACCCCGCCGCGCCCCGCGAGGCTGCTCACCCGAACGTGTTAGGCTCTTCCACCACCTTCATCTTGGCGGCTCCTGCGGACGCGGGCCCTACGGGGAACGGGGCGTTGAGGAGGCAGGGGACAGGCAGCCGAGGCGGGGGCGCGGGTACGGATCAGGAGGGAGCTTAGGGTTGCAGATGCCTGGGCAGGGGGTGTGGGAGGACGGGGCACTAACCGCGCGCCGCGAGCCGGAGCAACAGCAAGAACCGCGCTAACCTCGCCGCCATCATTTCGCCGCAAGCCGGGCGCGCGGTCACGTGAGCGCCATCGGGTCACGTGAGTGCCTGAACTGGGAGTGGCTCCCAACGCAGGCGCGCGTCGTCCGGAGTAGAGGTCCTCACGCAGGTCCTGGGGATTCTACTTCCCGCGATGGGCCGCAGGAGGGTACCGCGTAGATCCGGGGCCGAAGGCTCCCGTACCCGGCGCCCCGCGGGCTGCTCCCTAGAGGCCTTTGCTGAGGAGGTGGGCGCCGCACTGCGCGGTGAGTGGGGCGTGATCGAGGAGTGGGGCTGGGGTCGGAGACCCATGGCCTGCGGGCCGATTCGCGACTGAGGCCTCGTCCCCTTCTCTGCCCGGTGCAGCGTCCGTGGAGGCACAGGTGGCGGAGGACGAGGGCAGCTCGGGTCCTGCGCGGCTCCCTTGCACGCTGGCCATGTGGGAGCTGGGCCACTGCGATCCCCGGCGCTGCACCGGCCGCAAGCTGGCCCGTCTGGGTCTGGTGCGCTGCCTACGCCTGGGCCACAGGTTCAGTGGCCTAGTGCTCAGCCCCATGGGCTCCCAGTACGTTTCCCCAGCTGACAGGTAGGCTCGAGAAGCCAGGGGTGGGGGTGAGAATGGGCGGGTCGCCGGTCTGATCTTTCTTGTCTTCTGGCGCATTATTCCTTTCAGGAGTCACCTATTTGTACCTATCAGTCTAATTTGCCCCCATTGCCTAGCGCAGTCCAGGATAGAGCAGGTCTCAAGTAAACGTTTGTTGAGTGAATAAATGAGCCCGTTCCAGAAACGCTCCCATTCCTCAGCCTCAAAAGCTTGGCCTATAAGGACGTTTGGGGGTGGTTTGCAGTAGGGGAATGATGTCCTTGTATCCCTAGTGAGGCCAGTATCCAAGGACATACCTGCCTTAGGGCCATCACCAAGGTAGTGCTGGCCCCCAGAACCTAGCCCTTTGCTGCTCCTGGCAGACAGCTGGTTGCACAGTCAGGGGTGGCTGTCATCGACTGCTCCTGGGCCAGACTGGAAGAGACACCGTTTGGGAAGATGCGGGGGAGCCACTTCCGGCTGCTGCCTCACCTAGTGGCCGCCAACCCTGTGAACTATGGCCGGCCCTGTAAACTGTCCTGTGTAGAGGCTTTTGCAGCCACCTTCTGCATCCTGGGTGAGTGTTGAGGTCTGGCAGCCTAGAGATATGGTTGTGATCCCTGCAGTGTGTTTTCTACTAGCAAGTCCCAACAGGAATGTGAGGATATGTGGGGAGGTGGTGGATATGGAAAAGCTAGGGTTTTGATTTCAACTTCCACTTAAAGTCTTTGCCCTATGGAGTTGAGGTTGTGGCAAAATCAATAGCTGGCCTGTAAGCGCTCATATTTGGCCTTATTATCGTGGCACCACTGCCCTGAGAGCCCTCTGTCACCCCTCAACTCATCTTCAGAGAATTTATAGTCTCAATAGAAGCCCAGATGGGTGGCTCTGTGCGACATGGACAGAGGGACTTAGTGGGCTGCAGAGGTGGAGGCTGGTGAACAGGCATGGGCTATCTGGACTGTAGGATGGTGTCTGGCAAGGACTTTTAGTTTCTGGGACAGCAATGACTGTGCTGGGAACATGCTCAGGATTAGATTGTTGACATCTCAGATTTCCTGTTTCTGCGGCTTCAGGCTTCTCAGACCTTGCTGTCATTTTGCTGCGGAAGTTCAAGTGGGGCAAGGCCTTCCTAGACCTGAACCATCAGCTCCTGGAGAAGTATGCAGCCTGCAGCAGCCCGGAGGAGGTGTTGCAGGCAGAGCAGGAATTCCTGGCTCATGCCAAGGAGCTCCCCAAGGAGGAAATCGGTGAGGCCTGGCATTGCTGTGAACCTGCCTGGGTGGGAGCCAGGACCCTCAAGGCCTGCCACCTCCTTTTGAGAAGCTGCAGGGGTGGGAAACTGGGTTCTGCTCTAAGCTCACCTATAGGTCACTGTCCTCTTTTCTCCCTCTGTTCAGATCCCTTTGATGTAGATTCAGGGCGAGAGTTTGCAAACCTCAACAGGCCTGTGGCTGGCACACGGTAGGTCCTCGGGCTCCCAGTTTTGTGACAGGTCAGGGCTGTCCATTGCCTTTGCCCCTCCAGCTGTGTGTGTGTGGGGCGGGGGGGTGGCCTCCTGAACACCACCACCATGGTTTTCTGACTGTGGAAAAGGGGACGTGGATGTCTCACTGAGAGGTTTTGGTTTCGAGAGCACAGGGAGTAGGAGAAATCTGTCCTCAGCCTAGAGGTGGGTCAGTGTGCCAGAGAGGATTGCCTCAAGCCATGGATGGTGCCTTTAGTGAACACATCGCTCCTTTCAGGCTACCCACAGACAGCAGTGACAGTGACAATGAGGATGAGTCTGAGGAACACGGGCCTGAAGCCAAGGATGGAGGAGGCGGCTGCAGCAGCAGCAGCTGCCCAGAAGAGGAGGAGATTCTGGAGCAAGGGGCCGAGGCCAGTGCCCCCACCGAAGTTTGGAAAGGAATCAAGAAACATCAGAGACACTGAAAGTTCCAGACATGTATATTTTTTGAGGTGGGGTAATGAGGAAATCTAGAGACAGCCGTGGGACTTGTGGGAACAAAGACAAGCCTGGCAGCCTTGGCGCCTTGCAGCTCCAGGCAGCACTGGACTCTGTCGGGTTCTCTCCCAAAGCTATCACAGCCTTTCTCTGGGTCCCGCCTCAGAGCCCCCAATGAAGCTGCAGGCAAGGAAACCTCAGTGTTAGCCTGTTTCTTTGTATTTGGCCTGGGGCTGGAGGGACTCTCACCCTCTAGTGAGGCAGACCCTGCCTCAAAGGGTCGGTGCTGTAGGGGTGGCGGGCTGTGGAGTAGGTCTTGTGGGGATATGTGTGTGTGGCATGAAAGAAGCCAGACAGGCGACCGATCAGCATAAAACCCTTTACACTAACCCACCAGCCTCAGAAGTGACCCAGGGGACCCTGTCCTGGGCCAGGACTGGAGATCTATGCAGTTCTTAGCAAACCTCTCCACTACACAGCCTCTGGGTATAGGGTTCTAGAGCCCATAGAGGGTGAGAATACTGTAGCTGCTTACTTTCTCCCTCAACCTGGGGCCCTCGGAGCTGCTTCTCTCCAAGGCTTGGGTTGTTCAGACTCAAACCCTCACCTTCCTGCCTCTCAGCCTAGTGAACTACCGCCCCCCCCCCACCCCAAGAGAGATAAAGACAGAGATTCCTCTAAAATAGCTCTGCTGCGACACTGGGCAGTGGGGATGGACCACTCTTTGTTGCGGGGAGGGTGCTGTCTGGTTTATTGCAGGATATTGAGCAGCATCCCTGACCTTTGTCCACTGGTACCAGTAGCACCCTCTTCAGCCCCTAGTTATAACCAAAAATGTCCCCAGATGCAGCTTAATGTCCCCAGATGCAGCTTAATGTCCCCAGATGTGGTCTAATGTCCCCTGGGGAACAAAGTCACCCACTGAGAATCCTGTTCCTACCAGCCTGCCCTAGGGCTCTGGAACCTGAGGAAGCAGGTGGGCAAGCTCACCTGGCAACCAGGCTTGCTCCGTTCTGCGTCCAGGAAGGCAGCTGCTAGCCAGGCTCTGCTGAATTGCCCACCTAGATCCAGGGTTCGGGGTGGGGCTTGCTGGGTGTAAGGAGTTCACAGCACACACCACATGGACACACCAAGGCAGATGAGAGTCAGGGCGTCCAGCCACAGCACGCACACCACGTAGCAGGGAGGGGGCACCGCAAGTCCTGGCTGCACAAAGCTGACCACAGTGAGACGACAACACCACAGGGACTTGGGGAAGGCCTGGGGCTGGCAGCTGCAAGAGGTTCAGGGGTCCATCTCCATGCACTTCTCCAGCTCCCTCAGTCTCTTGACAAACTCCTGCGCTTCCCTGTTGGTGCGGCCCTCCAGCATCCTCAGTGTAGACTTCACTGTGGGCAGCGGGGTGGGGACAGCATAAGGCCCTGCCAACCCTTGAACCTACCGCCCCTGGACCTCCACTCACCCTGGGCTCGGGGCCTGCGCAGGTGCAGGGTGACGGGCTGCTCTGCCTTAGTGCTCCCTCCCATCTGGGACCGCAAAATGCCACCAATGTTGCCCAGGCTGAGGGCCGCCTCCCCTGCGAAGTCGTTGGTGGACAACCAGTCGTGGTCCATGACTGTGAACAGCACACAAGCGCCACGGCGGCGGCATGCCTCTGCTGGCACAGAGCTACAAGCAGACGGCAGTCACCTGGAGCCCTGCTCCCTGCTCAGGCAGGCAGAGGGTGGGTGGGGATGACACTCACAAGTAGAAGAGCTCATCATACACAGGATGCAGTGTCCTGCTCTTGACCTGCGTCCTCTGGCTTCGGACCAGTGGAAAGAAGTGTGGTGGGCCCAGCTCCACGATCACAAAGGGGTCACTCAGGCCTGGCGGGGGCAGGGCCATGAGCAGATTCCACTGCCCTCTCACCGGCCAGCCTCTGCCCTGCCATACCTCTGTTTCTCACCGTTGGCATCCAGGGGGAGCAGGTCGGCAGCGTGCAGCACCTCCACCGCCAGCCGCTGCTCAGCTACCTCGTAGTGGCAGCGGATGCTCAGGCGCCCAAACCGGTTCTGTTCCAGAGACCTCTACAAAAAGGCCCATGGGCTGGTAAGCCCAGCTCAGGGGCTCTGAGGCTCTGGAGCAAAGCCCCATGCCCACACCTAGGCCACATACTTGCTTGAGTTTGTCCAGGTAATACTGCTCGATGCACTCGCGGGTGGAGCACTTGTGTAGGCGCAGTTCCTCTTCCAGCTTCTGCAGGAAGAGGAGGGAAATAGGTGGGCACCTGGTGAGACTGGCCACTGAGCGCAACTCCTCACAGCTGCAGGCCCCTGAAGGCACAGGGGCTACTGCAAGGCAGTGGCTAAACTCAGGTCTGCAGCATCCATGCCATCCCCTTCCGTCAGAGGCCCTGGGGCTAGGCCTCACCTTGTAGCTTCCATCCTTCAGGTTCTCCAGGGGCAGACCCTTGCCCTCTGCATGGAAAAAAGTGACCAGGGCCTAAGGCAGGGCAAGAAGGGAGAAGTATCAGAGCGTGGCATGTGCTGGGGACAGTAGGCTGAGACAGGTGGAACTTCGAGCAACACCAGGCTTTGGAGAGCCCAGGGAAGAGCACACTGGAGGTGCCTCAGAAGCCCCCAGAAAGCTTGGGATAATGCCAGGGCCTGAGGCCAGACAGCTATCTTAACAGGTAGCCAGCTCTGACACAGGTGGGCTGGTAGGGAAGAAATGCTGCCCTTGTGGGTTTCCAGAGGAGAAATCCAGGCTGGGCAGTCCAGGCATCCTGGCAGCAGGGCCAAGGAGAGAGGCAGCACCTTTCCCCCTGGAGCTTGGCAGGGGTCCTCCTCCACTGGGCCCTACCTCCAGAGTAAAGTGGAAGCGGCTGTAGAAGTCAGCAGAGACGTCAACGTTGGTACCCAGTGCCTGCAGAATGGTCTGCAGGAGCAGCTCCCAGAGGGCCTCAAGCACCCTGCAGGGACACTCGGCATCTGTGACTGGACCCCGGCCAACCCTGCTCCACCTTGTGGAGCCATCAGAGCACACCCAACCCTGCCCCGTGCCATACCTGCTCAGGTTCTCCTTCACCAGCAAGGTGTTCAGCACAGTCAGCTTCTCGTCCAGGTACTTCATGAGCGGGGCCACAGCCTGTGGGCAGGGTTCTCAGGGCCAGAATGCACCTGGGCCCCACCACACACACTCCCCACCAGGCTGAGTCCTCAAACGGTCAGGCACTCACCTCATCATTCTGGATGGAGTCAGGCGACAGGCTGATGTGCTGCACATACTTTCTGATGTCACCCACCATCTGAGGGAGAGCAGTGTTCAGCACTGAATGGAGTAGGGTGCACAGGGCTGGGCAGTCAATTCCTCACCCCGCCCTCCCTGCCCACCTTGGAGGTCAGGTGTGCTGTCACGGTGCGGGCCTCCCGCTGCAGGTCTTCATCCAGGGCCTGTGTGCAGCTGAGCAGGGGGCGCGGGAGCCCCACCTCGAGCCCTGCATCCCCCTCCGACCACGCCAGGCCTCTCAGTGCCTGGCCAACAACCCTGCGCAGGAGCTCCACATTGTTGAGGACCACGCAGAGCTGGAGAGATGTGCCAGATGGGAGTGATCAGTGCTCCTGTGGTGGCCCCACCTGGCCTCCTGCCCCCATCCACCTGCCTGCCAGCCCACTCACCGGCTCACTCACTGTCTCGCCCGTGGCCCTGGGCTGAGTGTGCACCTTCTTCCGCAAGAGCTCAGTGTAGAAAAGGGCAGCCTCGCACAGATCCTGGTGGGACATGGAAGCTTAGGAACTCTGGGCCACATCCCCTGGCCCTGCTGCCCCTCCAGATGCCAACCTCTTCTTGGGCCATGGTCCCTACCTGGCTGAGCTGGGTGCCTAGCCCCTGGGCCTGGGCAGGGTCTGGCCATGCCAGGAAAGCCCATAGCTCTTGGATGTGGCTGAAGCAGAGACTTGCAGTGGCTGCGGAGCTGCTGTGCTTGGAGGAGGCATCCAAGGGCTCCAGCTGGGAAAGCAGGAGGAGGCCTGTGTTTTGGGGGGCCTTGGATGAATCCCAGTACCCTTGGGCCTGGGTGCTTACTCACCGTGTCCACATCCACAGCTCCCTGAAGCCTCCACTTGGCTTGGTCCCTCAGTACCTGCAGCCAAAGCTTCACAGCAGGCAGGAATGGGGCATGGATGCCAGCCAGGGCCAGGGTGTGGCTATCCCTGTGGCAAGAAGCCATCAGAGCACACCCAACTCAGACACCCTGAGCCAGCATGGCTCAGGGTCCCCAGGCAAAAGGGTACCCAGGAAAGCCTCCTGTGTGGGGCCTTTGGGCTCCTGTTCAAGAGCCCTCTTAGAGGCTTGAGAACATGTGGTGGAGGGGGCCAGGTGGGGGTAGAGGGAGAGGTGGAGGAAAGGGGCAGAGGGGATAGAGACAGGTTGGGGAAAGGGACAGGTGGGGAGGGGGCAGGTGGGGCTGTACACCCACCGGCCCGGGATGCTGCTCCAGAAGCGCTGGATGTCTGCCAGGGTTAGGTAGAGCTCGAAGAGTCGTGAGGCCACCTCAAGGGTCATTTTGGGGCTCAGCTCCTCTGTCAGCGCCCACACCTCCTCAGCCACCTGTCCAGAAGGGTAGAGTCAGGCTGCCAGCAACAAAGAAACCTAGGCTCCTTCCCAGCCAGGAGAGCCGTCC